CTGATGGCTCTGTGGCCGGCAGGGCCGGGCTGCGCGGAGGTTCGCTGTACCGCTGTGCCGCCGATTCCCGGACGGTGCGCCACCCCTCGGACGGGGCTGGGACGAGGATAACCTCCGTTCCAGAGCGTTCCGGAACGCTCTCAAAGCGTTCCGGAACGCCCCGAGAAGGCCGCGGCGCACGAGACAGTCTCCATGGCCGCCAGATCTCAGAGCTTCTCGATGTATCCCCACCCGAACGTATCCTCGTCCTGCCCTTGTCTGGACCCATCGGCGATGCGTCGCCGGCTCCAGGACGACGCTCCGCCCCCGAGCCAGCCCCCCGATCGTTGCTCCCACGATCCGTTGATCCCCCCTTTGCTTACTTTTCCCCGCTGGTCGCCCGACCCGAGAGAGATGGATCGGAGGCACGGGGGGGGGGGGGGATAGGGAACGGGAGGAGGAGGAGGAGGAGGAGGAGGAGGAGGAGGAGGAGGAGGAGGAGGAGGAGGAGGAGGCAGAAGCGGAGCATGTGGAAAGGGAGGAGGCGGAGGGCTGCATTCAGAATGAACGTTGGAGCATACTGCGTCAGCCTCGGGAGGAGGAGGAGGAGGACTGTAGTGTATTGCTGATGCCCTTGAGGGTAGGCATAACCCTGTGAGGACGGATGGGGCTCTGAGGCTCACCCACCCTTGTTACCGTGCCCCCAGGTACAAGGACCGTGGTAGGCACACGGTATGAGAGGTAGCATACCTTTCATCGGCAACCTCCGTTGTGAAGACCGTGGCTCGTCCTTACTCGGCTTGTGCGCCAGAGCAATCGGAGCGTATCAGCACACGCTGGAGGTGAGTGTGAATGAGGGGTGATGGATTCCACACCTCCTGACTGCATGGACGATGCGGCGGAGCGAGGCCGCCAAGGTAATGAGGCTCAGACTATACAGCGCTGAATGCCAGTGCGTGCGCGAGCGGCGGGATGCAACAAGGGAGTCGGTGGCTGATATAATAAGTGGACAACGTCAACCCACGCCACCATTGTGCTGCGTACCCCAACGGTTACACGACGCGACGCGACGGCAAGCTGAGAGGCAATGGTTACCTCACCTCCTGCCGGCATGGACGATGCGGCGGAGTGAAGACGCCAAGGTAATGAGACTCAGAGTAAACAGCGCTGTATGCCAGTGCGTGCGCGTGCAGCAGGGTGCAACAAGGGAGTAGGTGGCTGAGATAATATGTGGCCAACGTGTCCTCACGCCACCTCTGAGCTGCGTACCCCTACGGTTACACAGCGCGACGCGACGGCTGGCAAGGGGATCGCGCGCCGAAGAATACGATTCGACCCGCGGCCGCATAACCATCTGAGAGGCGATGTTTTCCTCACCTCCTGCTGGCATGGACGATGCAGGACTGTCGGCCTTGCCGCCAGACTGTGTCCTTGAGGCAAATGCCTCGCGACATGCTTGCAAAGCTACACTGTGGATGCACGAAAGCTGCAAAAGAAGCTGGCCAACTTCTGATAGGAGATAACCATGGTAGCAGAGTGCGATTGTGCAGGACTGCCGGCCTTGCCGCCAGGCTGTGTCCTTGAGGCGAATGCCTCGCGACGTGCGTTCATAATCTGTAGACGCACGAAAGCTGGCCTTGACACTGGCCATCGTCGACTAGAAGACAACCCGTGGTAGCCGCAAGGCGTGAGACTGTGCAGGACTGCCGGCCTTGCCGCCGGGATGTGTCCTTGAGGCCACTGCCTCGCGACATACTTGCATTATCTGGGATTGCGCGAAAACTGGCAATGACGTTGGTAGGAGTCAGCCATGCAAGCCGGACAACATGGGGTTATGCAGGACTGCCGGCGTTGCCGCCGGGCTATGTCCTTGAGGCGAATGCTTCGCGACATGCTTAGATAAACTGTGGATGCACGTAAGCTGAAACTGAAACTGGTGGACGTCTGATAGGAGGAACCATGGCAGCAGAGTGCAAATGTGCAGGACTGCCGGCCTTGACGCCGGGCTGTGTCCTTGAGGCGAATGCCTCGCGACGTGCGTTCATAATCTGTGGACGCACGAAAGCTGGCCCTGACTCTGGCCATCGACGAATAGGAGACAAGCCAAGGTAACCACAAAGAGTGAGACTGTGCAGCACTGCCTGCCTTGCCGCCGGGCAGTGTCCTTGAGGCGAATGCCTCGCGACATACTGCATTATCTGCGATTGCACGAAAACTGGCAGTGACGTTAATAGGAGACAACCATGGTAGCCAGACGA